ATCCCTGCTATCCTCTCTTCCGTTAGGCGTTGTGGCTCCTTTTTCTTTCTTTCTTTGATTTCTTTCGCGATCTCTTCTTCCGTTATCCCTTCCAGTGCAGATCGCTCGCGGCCCACCACCGCTGGCTTAACTTTTTGAGCTACTCACTTGTGTCGCTTGGGTAGCCCCCCATAGGGGGCCGTGCTCTTAAAAAAGACACGGATACCACACCGCCAAACTCCTCATCTTTTTCCTTTGGGTACGAGTTGCCATCCACTATAAGCCGACTCCCTAAATCTTCCACCTCCACGATCCGACCTTCTTCCTCTGTGAGCAGTGGTCCATATTTCTTCTCGCGAAATCGCACCGCGCGGCCGGAGATAGGTAACGACTTAATCTGATCACTGGGTCTCGCACCCACAGTGAGAGCTGCTCTGTTCCTCGGGTCCCGAGGCTCCACTGTCTCAATGATTACCCGCGTCCCGTCTGGCTTCCTAATGGACAATGTTTGGCTCCCATCAGGTCGCTCTATCGTCACCGCATGCACGTGGCTTAGCCACGTTCGACCCAAGAGCAGGTCGTAGTTGCAGTTCTTGACTACAAAGACAGGCAGGGTCACTCGTGCCCCTTGGACCTCTATGGTTGCCTTGTGACAAACCCCACTCATCTGTTGCTTTCTCCCATCAGTCGTCTCTATCTCGAATAGGTATGACCTATCGAGGCCCAGTCCAACCTGTACTGCCAGGTCCTCGTCTATGATGACAGGCTTACTGCCGTTATCGATCACAGCATCGAGTACCGCTCCATCGTTTATAATCGTCTATACCGCCCGGTACCAAGTATATAAAACTTGTCTGGAGGCACACCTTCCATTTCATCGAGAAGGACTGTCGCCATGCGATCCGCTCTGGCAGTCACCCCCGTTACTGCTACTGTAGAAGCTTCCGCCTTAGGGGTCCCCTGACCCTCCTCCGATAGAGGTATGCGAGTCTTCCGCGTGATCATTTGTAACTCATCACGAGCCGGCTTCGATGCCACTGGGTACTCCAGAATAGAGCACTGCATGGGTTGCCGAAGGGCCCGCCTCAGTGGCTCGACCGTGTCAATCTCGTCCAGCGAACTCTTCATTAAGAACTTCTTCACTCCCCTCTTTCGCGGCGAAAGGATAACCTCCTCTCCATCGACCCGCTGCCCGTCCTTCTCCGTCATCACGTAATCCGTGTTAGTCTTCTTCGATGTAGACCCTCTCGCCGACTTGGTGGCGGCCACCCTTATGGGTGTGGTAGCTATATCCCCCTCAAAGGTTGTCTTGATGCTCTGCCTCCTGACCGGCTCCTTTTCTTTACTTCGCTTTACTCTCCTTGCTTTGACATTCTCCTTCATCGAAGGGAACATCGATACATCTCCCAGATCATCTGCCCACTTGACGTACTTACGGTCATCAAGCACGACAAGTCCCTCATCTATTGCCCGTTTGAGTTCCGGACAATCCCTCTTGATATGATCTTCTCCTCTACAATAGACGCATGAGTTCCTGGGAGTAGATGGCCTGTCGTCTGCGCTTCTAGAGATTGAACTTCTGGCTGCCTTGGGGTCAGGCGACTTGGGATATGGTTCTGATGAGACGTCATATCCCCCTCTCTCATTCCGACCACGCGAATCGTTGCGGCGGTCTCCTCCAGACCCTCCTTGCTCATACCGCCATCGCGAATCATTCCGGCGGTCCCCCGAGTCATATCGCCCTCGTGACTCATCGCGTCGTTCCCCTCGGTTGTACCACCCCCCCGACTCGTCGCGCTGCTCTCTCGCATCTCCCCCGCGCTCAAACCGTCCGCGCGACCCATCTCGTCGTTCCCAGTCCCGATCTCCTCTTTCATACCTACCTCCTCTGTAGCCATCTCGACCCGACCTCTCGTATCTGTCGTCCCTATATCCGTTTCGGTCCGATCTCTCGTATCTGTCGTCCCTATATCCATCGGCCTCATAGCGAGGGCTTCGCGGGTCATCATCCAGCCTCCTTGCTCGCGCAAACGTCTCGCGATCTCTGCGGTCTCGGTCTATCTCATCATCCCTACGTCGCCATGGCTCATCGTCTCTCTCTCTTCCCCTCGTAYGATAATCAGTCAGCGTCCGAGGATTTCTATCCTCGACACTCCTCCAGGAATCGTTGTTCCTACGGTCCCACCGAAGTAAATAGGGCCGTCCAGGTTTGTCCCGGTTGGCCGTGGCCTCTGTAGTGGTCACAATCTCTGTAACCTCTCTCGTCAATCCCTTCACCATGTCCCGTATCTCCTTCACTTCCTCAGCCACGGCCTCATTCTTCTCCGACCAGGGATAGTCCTTGAAATCGGGACATCTATCAGTGGCATACTCCTTGTAGAGAGAGAAGTCACGTCTCCTCATCCCTCTCCACACCAAGTCCTTGTAATCGTCTACCTCTGCCTTTATCGCGAGCCTTAGGACTTCTGGGAAATCAAGCCTGTTGCGCGGAAGATCTCTAAGTATACTCTTTTGCCTACCTTTGGACAAGTGTCCGATGAAGATAGTACAGCGCTCGACCTCTGAGATCTTCCCCTTCT